TTTTTTCCTAATGTAAGTATAGAATAAAGTAATTCTTCTTTTTTGTTTTAATTTTTAAAAAATTTATTGTATCAAATTATCCAAGACAAGAGAAACTTTTCAAAATGATTCTGAAGGCGCATAGTACCATAGTAAGTTGAAACTTATTTTTTTGTGTTGCAATTGCGAGTAGAACGTTACTTTTAAAATATTTATGTACTATGCTGTATAAGACTATACTACGTTAGGTTAGAAAGTGACTATTTTAAGATTAGAATATGAAAGTGTTGTGTTGTGTTAGAAGGTGACTGTGTTGTGTAGTGTTAGAAAGTGACTGTGTTGTGTTGTATTAGAAAGTGACTGTGTTGTATAGTATTAGAAAGACTGACTGTGTTGTGTTGTATTAGAAAGTGCCTGTATTGTGTTGTAAAAGTGATTATGTTATGTTATGAATCAAATAAGTAGGTATAAAACACTTTGTGTTACGTCTTTCTATTTATATTATGTTAAAAAATATTTTTTTTTATTATGTAATGAAAAATATGCCTTTTACTTATTACACGTGTAATTAAAAAACTGTTTGTGATGCAGTTGCAAATTTGTGATGCAGTTGCAAATTTGTGATGCAGTTGCAAATTTGTGATGCAATTGCAAATTTGTGATGCAGTTGCAAATTTGTGATGCAGTTGCAAATAAAATATTGTTCTTACTTTTTATATTTAACATTTGAAATCGAGAAAAAATGTGCATTCAGTAATTGCTTACTAAACTTTAATTTAATTTAAACTTTTATCTCATTCAAATTTTAATATTCAAAGTTGATAAAAAGTATCACCTACGATACTCATTTTTTGAAAATAAATTATCTTCACCCAGGTTTCTATAAAACTATCTATACCCAGGTTCCCATTTTACGTTAGATTTTTATTTTACGCAATACTTTTTATTTTATCATAAAATAAAAGCTATTGTGTAATATTATTTTATTTATCAACAAATAAATTTTAAGTAAATTTGTAATTTACTTAAAATTTTAGATGCTCAGATGCTTGATACAAGGTGGAATAGGAATATATCGGTGGGTAGGAATTTTTATATAGGTCTTATAAACGGAGGAGTGGGTGGGGTGGGGGACGATCATTAAACGAGTGGATAGAAATTTTTTTGTTTTGTTTTTATTAGCGAATTTATATTTTCTAATTTCTAGTTTTTATGATGCAGTTTCTGTGTTGATTGAAGCCAAGTTAAAATATTTTTTTAAAAACTTTTTTACGTACTTTTATGCGCGCTTTATTTGCTGCTAGAAAATATGCAAGAAAAATAATCTGTTTGTGTGTGTGTGTGTGTGAGGGGGGGGGGAGGGAGAATGCCAATTTGTTTATGTTTTTATTTTTATGACTGTACAATGATAATCAAGTAAAAATACCAAATAATTAAACGTTTAAATGGAAGAAGTATGTTTATACGATTTGCTTACCTTAACATGCATATTCGTTAAATCTTACACATTAACACACATAATATGTTATATCACATATATTTTTTAAAATCCTATAAAATATGTAAAGTATATGTATTACATAAAGTATATAAAGTATTTTTTTTTTCTTTTTTTTTTTTTTCTTTTTTTTTTTTTTCTTTTTTTTGTTTTTGGAAAAAGTCATTTTATTTTCCATTTAAATATGCTATGACTGTAAAATTATGCTATTTTAAAATCTTATTTTAACTTTATAATATCTTTGTAGAAATATATTTTTGTTTTTTATGTTACCTATTTTTATGTTTTAAGTTTTTAAATTGTAATATTAACTGACGGCTTCTATGTAAACGGGGCTCAGCGATAAGACAATATGTCTTCTTCTTGCTCCGTCCATTTTTATATATGTAAACAATTTTTTCTCATTGTAAATAGTATTATACGGCAAATTAAATTAAAATATATATATATATATATATATATATATATATATATATATATATATATATATATATATATATATATATAAATATATATATATATATATATATATATATATATATATATATATATATATATATATATATATATATATATATATATATATATATATATATATATATATATATAGTATATTTTCTCTGTCACTTTTAGAAGTTATTAAACTAAATTATTATTATTATTGTAGTTGTAGCCGTAAAATATACATACCATACATACATACACCGAGCAGGAAAAACACCCTACTATAAACAACCAGTTTTATAAATATTCGTTCCAAATTTTATCTTTAACCAGTTATCTAATCTAATTTTTAAAAAAAGTACAATGGAGTATAAAGTTACTTGCTCGGATAGTTCATTCCAGTGTTTTGCTGATCTATTATATAATTGGTTGTGTCTTGGAAGACAGTTTGAAACATATTCACGTTTTATTTAAAGATGGTGACGACGTGACAATTAGTTAATAATTTTTGATATATATTATTATTTATATCAAATCGATGTATTCGTAATGTAGATAGCTACACCGCCACCTCGACGTCCGTCACAGCGATCTTTTCAATATAAAGTATACCCATCAATGTTAGAAACTGAGTCATTTCGAAACCATGTTTCGGAGACAGCAATAACATGATAGTCAAAGGTTCTAGCTAATTCAATTAAATCGTTCATTTTGTTATCAAGGGATGTTGCATTAGCGTAGTAACAACTAACACTATAGTTTGTTTTCAGGTAATGTACGTCTTTACCCTTGTATTTTATTTTTGTTGTTAGGAGAGTCAAGGGAGGATAGTGATTCTTAGGCTGTGGTTTGGAGATTTTTGAGCTTAACAACTTAACGACTCCGCTGCTTCGTATACCGTATCTAAAGGGCGATGGTTTTAGATTTATATAACTATTTAATTCATTACGCTTCATTCTTAGTTGGTAGTTTAGATATCGCTCAGCCTCAGTCAGATCTGGGCTTATAAAGACATTTTTGTAATCGTTTGAATTTTTAAATTTTTTCACTGCTGTAAGTAATGGGTTTCTTTCCGAAACATCTGATAGTTTGACGATAATTGGTCCTGGTTTAGAGGACATAGATTTAATACGTTTACCATCAAATGCGATGGTAGTTAATATGTTCTGAACCGTTTCCGTATCGTCGATTTGCTTTTCTGCATCTGATAACTTAGTAGATTCTTTAATACCAATAATGATTACATTTTTTTCTCGCTTTTATTTTTGTTGTTGCTCAATGGAGAATGCGTTTATAACTGTTAGCTGTTCAAGGGTTTTTTTTTTGTTTTTGTTTGCAACTGTAACCCAACTGGATTCGATATTTCTGGTTGTTGTAATATTTTGTTTAGTAGATTTGGACAAGTTGATGTTGTTGCTCTATGACTTGCTCTAGTTCGGATATTTTGGCAAGCCATTTTGCAGATTCAGCATCAAGAATTTTTTTAATTGAGTTATCGACTTGTTTTAATTGAGTTGGTGTTAAATTAGTCATCGCAAAATTAGAACCAAAAACTAAAAAATCTATATCATTTAACAAAAGAGCAAAGTCAGTATTAAAAATTTCAATGTCTTCATCATACTTTCATTGAAAATATTTACTTTTGAAGTAAAAAAACAACCCGGAAAATTTTGTCATTTTTATTACTATATTTTAATCATTTGTTTTTATCTTTTTTTTTTCTTTTTTTAATTATTTTAATACTTTTTTTGTTTTTTAACATCTTAAAATTGTCTTTTTTTTAATGCTGTTGCTTATATATTGCAGATATTTATTTGCGTTAGTATTGGGGTGATAAGGCTAGTTAATGCCTTCTTCTTGCTCCAGCCAATTGTACTTTTTTTATATTGTTGTAAATTGTAAATATTTTTAACGGCAAAATAAACTGACTAAAAAAAAAAAAAATATTTATATATAAATTTAAACTTTAGTAGAACATAACAAAAAGTGTTTCACATAAAAACAAAAAATTTAAATTTTCACAGCCATGGATAGAAAAACAAACATAAAATGTAATTTCAAAATAACAAAATAACAAAAGTTCAAAACTGTGACAAATGTTGTTTAAAACTGTTTTCGAAAATCGTTTAACATAAAAATTAATAGGCCACCGTTCGATAATTTTGTCTAGCTTATAAGATGTTAGTTAATGAGTTTGAATGGATAATAATCATTTCATACCAAAAGACACTAGGATGTCGAATTATTAGTTAAACTTTTGTATTTTAAAATTTTTTGATGTTATAGCGAATAATCTGTTTCATGCAGAGGATTATTTAAACATATGGCCTCAATTAATTTGTACTTGAGTGTAAAATAATTTTCGTATAGATGTTGTTGCGTCTTTTGTAACTATGGTGACTTTCAAACTTATCCTAATATAATTTTGGTTTGTTGTTTAAAATAGAAATCCTTTTAAGTTTTTAAATTTTATATTTTATTTTATCTAGGTTTAATGCATTTGATGACCGCATTTTGAAATTGTCGGATGCTTTCTAAAATCCTTGGACGTTGCTGGGGTTTGACATTGTTGAATTTTTGGTTTCCTGAAGATAACTTTAATTGGTTTACTTTATTTTAAATTGAGAGATTAGCATTTCTTTTTTCTCAGCAAATCCTAATAAATTCAATCTTTACGTAAACAAACAATTTAAACAAAAAGATTTAGTTGGTTAAAAGAAAGATTGGTTTTTACGATGGTTAATATATTATTGTAATAAAACAGATAACAAATAACATTTATTGTAATTAAAACATAAAAAATGGCATAAAATCATAGTGTATTAAGAATTATAGAAGTTTAAAAGTTTTTAAAGTTATAAAAAATAGTATTAAGATTTTATTTAAATTATTATAAATACATTTTTTTTTATTTTTTATTTTCTAAGCTTATATCAATGTTTGGTATTAGCAGTTATTAAAATGTTTGTAATTACTTTGTAAAAAAATTGTTTTTTATTGATAATAATTTATGTCAAAATATAAGTGTTTTTGTATTTTTTATCATCACACTAAAATAAATAACAATTTTATTATTACTGTTGTTTACTGTTGGAATTTTTTAATTTTTTTTAAGAAAGTAAAGAAGTAAAAAGTAGTTGAAACTGCTGAACAAGAAAAAAGTTGCTCTGCAATGCTTTAATGATTTGATCAAAAACTTATTTATAGAGGAATTTGGTAATTTTAAACTTATGAAATACTTTATTTGGTATTTTAAAATCTGTATTATTTATAATTTTATTTAATATGCCACACTTTACCATCGCATAACTTAACCATGCTTCAACACCTCCACTACCACTCAACCTCGCTACAAATCTAATAAACGCCTCAAAAAGATTATATAATAAAAAATCATATAAATATCAAAACTCTTAAGCATAAAACACCCAACCAAAGATCACACCCTTTTAAAATGATATACATCAAGGAAATACCCTATCAAAGATCACACCCTATCAAAATAACATACATCAAGGTAACGCCATACCAAAGTAATATACATCAAGGAATCGCGCTACCAAAGTTCAAAATTAAATTGGTTTTAAACGGGCATAACTTTTTGATAGTTAAAAGATGAAATTAAAAACCTGTCACAAATATATATAATTAAGTAAAAAATAATTAAAAAAAAATAAATAGTATAATCAAGTAAAAAATATTTTAATATAAAAAATTAGCGAAGTTTTGCAAAACAAATTAATGAGTATTTTTGTTTTCCACTAGTATAATTTTGTTTTTTTTTACAACCATAGAAACTATAGAATATAGCTATGCAACAATTGCTTGCAACTATGTAAATTGATAGGATAAAAACTCTTATTAATTTATAATAATTATAATTATAATATCGGTTTAGAAGTACGTTTTCATTTTTTTAAGTTTTCTGTTTAGTAACCTTCAGTTACAGATTTTCAATTGGAACAATTTCTTGTCAGTGACGGCTTGAGCAACTTTGCATCTTCTTTTAATATAGTCAATTAACAATGTTAAACTTCCAAGATATTGCACAAATTACTGTAGAAGCAATACAAGAAAAAAATGAACTTCCTAACGGTATGTTTAAAATAGTGTTTATAAATATTGTTTGATTATTAAATTGTTTTTGTTAATACATATATATATATATATATATATATATATATATATATATATATATATATATATATATATATATATATATATATATATATATATATATATATATATATATATATATATATATATATATATATATATTATATATATATATATATATATATATATATATATATTATTATTATTATTATTATTATTATTATTATTATTATTATTATTATTATTATTATTATTATTAACTATAACATATATAGATCAGCAATTGCTTATTTTTTTTGGGCATTACAAAGATGAAAACTATGTAGAACTGGTAAACAAAATGCTATGCAGTTTTAAATCTCTTGAGTGTAATAAGAGTATTAAGGCGTACTATTCACACAGCCATTTTGACTGCCTTCCTAATAACATAGAAGACATGAGTGAGGAAAAAGGCTAAAGATTTCAGCCTCAACTTTTTAAAACTAATTGAACATATTATGTACAATAGACTTAATAAGCATCTAACTAGAAATTTTTTTTTTACTGTAATCAATATAATTAAAAAACCATTCTACAGACCATGTAATAATTGAGTTGTTTAATCATATATCAAATGGGTTTAATAGTGATTGCTATGCAATTAAGGCTTTTATTGATTTATCTTTCGACAAGTAAACTATGATATACTTTTAAAAAAACTAGAACATTATTGTGTTAATAACCAAAGTTTACTTTGTTTTAAATCATAACTAAATAACAAGAAGCCATTTATACTCAACGAATCAAAATGCTGAAAAAAAAAGCCTCAAAACTTAATTTTTTTTTTATTTTTTGTTTATTTATATATATATTTCGTCAATAAACAATCAATTTACAATATTTTTTGAAAAATTAAAAATTAAATCTTTATATTCTGACAGGAGCAAGTAGAAGACAATGCGTCTTATCACCCTGCTCCTAAGTTCGTGAAAATATCAAATAAGATTTACGTATTAAGTTCCTAAAATATACGTTATATAAGTTTTATACATATTACAAATTTTGTACATACTATAACATATTGCAGCTCATAAAATATATAAGTTATAAGATGCATATATACGTGTTAACAAATTGATATATAAATGTTTTTAAAAATACAAAATAATGTTTTTATTATTTAAATCTAATAAGTATCGTTTAACTGCTTTTTTAAATAGTTCAATTGAAGTCATGTTTTTCATTTCTCTATTAAGGAAATAGTTCCACAAACGTGGTCCTCGACATGTAATTGAGAAGTCTGTTTTTCTAAGGGATGTTGTAGGGATGAGAAAGTTGCCAATGGAATGTCTTGTAGAGTATTTGTGATTAATTAAGGTAAAATGAGGTTGAAAATATGTTGGAAGCATGTTGTTATGAATTTTAAACATAACAGATTTTGATAGATGTTTAGATTATAAATATTTAAAACATTATTTTTTTTTTAAGTAAAGGCTCGGCGCATGCATATCTACCTGCATTCAAAATTAACCGGCTCGCTTGCTTTTGTTTGGTATTGGTTTTTTTTGAAGAAGATGAATAATTACTTGCCCACAATATATTGCAATAACTAATGTGATTATAAATAAATGAAAAATACAAGCTTTTTAAGCACATTATATTCAAAAGGTGCTTCGTTTTGAAAAGGATCCCAAGAGCTTTTGAAATGCTGTTTTCCTTTAATTGGATTTGATTTTTCCAGTTTAAATGATCGTCAAATATTATACCTTGGATTTTCATTGAATGACCTCTTTTTACTTTAATGTTGTTTATAAATAAATCAGAAAGTTTTAGGGGTATGTTATCAGTTTTTGTAGGCCTTGGTTCTATATTAGGACCATTTTTTGTTTCTATTTTATATAAATGATTTGTATTTAGCATCAAAAATATTAAATACTACCTTATTTGCAGATGACTCAAATTTAATTTATTTTCACAAAGATATTCAAATACATATTAAAATGTTTCACAAATTGGAGGTTTTAAAAATTAAATACGATAATGAAGTGATTTATAAGTAACCAACTTTCATTAAATGTAGATAAAAATAAATTTATTTTATTCTAGAACATATTCCAAAAACCTTGTAATATTTTAGTTTACAATATTCCTTTTAAATTACCCAATCTTTTAATCGATAACTTCCTAAAAATGATTTTAGTTAAAAGTTTGTTCTGGAAATTTTATGTTAAGTATATTGAAAGCTACATCTCTAAAAGTATTTTCTTTTTATAAACAAAACCTTTTCTTTATTAATCATCTTTTAAACTGTAAAAATATAAACACTAAAATATGTCAATATTTTATATTTTGTTTATAAAAAGACGAATTTGCTTGATCAAAATCAAAATTTGACAAAACAAGTTCATACGTGCGATACATACGTGCGATGCATACGTGCGATGCATTCGTGCGATGCATACGTGCGATGCATACGTGCGATGCATACGTGCGATGCATACGTGCGATGCATACGTGCGATGCATACGTGCGATGCATACGTGTGATGCATACTTGCGATGCATACGTGCGATGCATACGTGCGATGCATACGTGCGATGCATACGTGCGATGCATACGTGCGATGCATACGTGCGATGCATACGTGCGATGCGCAATAGGCAAGACAAATTTGATTAAAATTTATCTGCAAAAAAAAGTTTGTTAAAAACTTTTTATTTCTAAGAGTGTTTTTGTTGTTAAACTTTAAATGAAAACGTTCTTTAAAGGATAGGTTGTTTTTTCACATAAAAACAATTTATAAAACTACTTGGTGATAAGAAAATATGTCTTCTTTTTGCTCCGGCCAGGTTTTATATTCTTGCAATTTTTTTTTCTTTTAAACTTAATTTAAATAAAGAGAATTTAAACTTTGTTAAAAAATTAAATGATTTTAAAGAGGGTTAAAACTATTTTTTTAAGCGATGAAAGATTTAAACGCGTAACAAGCGTCAAAAAAAGTTTCTTCTTGACGCTTGGTAATTGACGGACCGTTACTATTGACGTATTGGGAACAAAGTTTCTAGTTCATTTAAGGGTTGAGAAACCAAACTCTAAAATCTTACTAAAAATGATTTCTTAATTTTTAAACTTTACTCAAATTGCTCATTGCTATCTTTTCATTTTAATTATTAGGTTCTAATCTGATTTTTACATTCATATAGAAGAGGAAAAAAATACTCAACACCCTCGAGATTTACGAAATAAAAAGATAAAAGAACATATATCTTACATGATTGACAACTCTTCATTTCACGGACTATCTTATATATTTGATAAAAGACATTCTATTCGCCGTACAATATGGTTTTTCATAACAATAGCTGCGTTTGTTTACGCCATGCAAAAAGTTTATGAAAGTACAATGAACTACTTTTCGTACCCGTTTTATACCGCTCGTATGAGAATGTATGTGAACCAGATAAATTTTCCAGCTGTATCTTTCTGTAACTTGAATGATATAAGATTTAGTGTAATGAACGGAACAATTGTTGATGACGCAATTATAAATAATAATCAAGAAGCAAATATAACAGGGGAAGAAATGAGAACTTTTATTCAAGCAGCTAGACATACATTAAAAGAAATGTTAGTAGATTGTGACTTTGAAGGTAAGAAATGTTCTTACGAAAACTTTACAGAATTTAGTTGGATGCAGGGAGAAAGTTGCTTTACTTTTAATTCTGGCAAACCTCCTCACACTCTGTTGAAGGTGAACGGAGCAGGTATAAATAGAAGCTTGAAACTCACCATCAACGTCCAACACTATGAATACTATAGAGATAAAATGGATGCTGGTATTCATTTAATTTTACATGGACAAGATGAGACACCGGTTAAAATGCGAGGTCTACATCTTCCACCTGGGTTTACATCATATATTCAAATAGAGAAAAAGACGGTAGTTAAAATTTTTTTATTTTTTATAAAGTAAATTTTTTTTTGTTTATGCAAACAAAAACCTTGTACAAAACTTACTCCCAAGAAAGTTATATAATAAATAAAATAAGTTAAATCAAAATAAAATTAATACAATAAATAAAATATAAGAAGAAAACAAGTTAAAAAAAAATTGTTTTAAAATTATATTTAAATGATGTGATTATAGTCAAATGTTATATATTATTTAAATATAAATATGAATATAGTTAAATGAGGTGTTGTCAAAACTAAAGATATTGCTCTAGTTTTTTTCTTTTTTAGAATTCCTTTACAAGAAATTTTTTTAATTTTACATATAAGTATGTGTCTATGTATATATATATAATATATATATATATATATATATATATATATATATATATATATATATATATATATATATATATATATATATATATATATATATATATATATATATATATATATATATATATATATATATATATATATATATATATATATATATATATATATATATATATATATATATATATATATATATATATATATATATATATATATATATTTTGTTAATGAGCAGCAAATTTTTTTTTTTAACTTAGAGTATTTATGCTATATTTAAAATATTTTTAGAAATATTTTATTTTTTTAGATCATAAATTTAGAAGCACCGTACAAAACAAAATGTGGTTCAGTAGAGTTAAAATATTTTGATAGCTACTCGATGCATACTTGCTGGCTTGAACAACTTACAGACCATGTTTACAAAGTGTGTAAATGTAAAGATGTTTTTATGCCAGGTTGTTTTAATATTTATTTCTGTTAAGTTTGTGTTTAAATACAAACATTCATTTTTATTGTAAAACATAATAAATTTAAATTTTACACAATGTCTCTATAAATTTTTTAAAAACTTAAGAAATGATTGAGTAGGTAAACAAGAGACAAGGTAGATAGGTAGGTAAATAGACTTCAATAAATAAACAAAAAAAAATCTGGCTCTGTGACAAGACCATTGGGTTTTTTTGGAAACCTTAAAAACTTTTATTAATAGATGCTAAATCATTTTTTTTCTTTTTGTAGTAATTAAAATTTTTAATTTTTTGAAGGAGATATTCCGATATGTTCGTTTGATGAAGCATTTAACTGCATGTGGCCTCAATGGGGTAGTCTTTTTTTACACTTTTTTGTTTTTATACTTTTAGTTTGTTTGGATATACACATATATATGTGTGTGTATATGTGTGCGTTTGTGTATACACCTATAATATATGTTAATACAGTTTGTAACATTTATAAAACGGTTTTCCAGAAACATTTGATAAACTGAAATTATATCATTGTCCGTTACCTTGTAAAATTGACTCGTACGCTGTAAGTCTTTCTCGAGCTCTATTTCCTACGGCTCGTTATGCTAGTAGTTTGGCAAATGAACTCCGAAAACATCAACATGTGGCCATGAATTTAAAAAGTAATGCTGATGAACTAGCTTTTATGAGGTAATATTTGATTATAAATGATTATTTCGATATGCAACTCTAGATCAATTTTAATAGTCTACAAATATATTTAAATTTAAAAAGTAGTTAATAATACACTTTTAATAATTTAACTGTTTTTAATATTACAATAATAGCCATTAAAAGTCATTTTTGAATTTTGATACTTTTAATAATTTTAATAATTTTTTGTTACTAATTTTGATGATTTAAAAAATTTTTAAATTTAACTTAAAAATTCTTTTAAAAGCTTTCATTCATTTTATATCTTGACATTTCAAAAGTCATTTATTATATTTATCAGTTTGCTATAAATGATTCTCATAATTATCCAACCAGTAGCACAAATATACTAGTTGTATATATTTACAGACTTTTAACATATTTTTACAAGTCATATATGTTTATATAGCTTGTAAAAAAACTATATTTTTTATTTGAATTTTCAAGCTATACTTTTCTATACAATGTTCTTATAGAAGATATTGTTGGCTTAGCATAGGAACAGCCATATATAGTCCTATAAAGTCCTTTAATGACCAGCAGTTTTGCGCACCGAAGTACTAAAGAAGCACTGAGTTCACGGTGGCCGGATTTGAACTTATTTTGTACATTACTCCCGGTTTTAACTTTTTATATCACGCTTTATCCAACTGAGTTATCCATTCACTTTTATGCTCAAATCTGGCGCAGTCCGGATTTTACATTTCATTTGACGCTCTAACCATATGAGCTATCCAGCTATCCAGCCATATTCGTGCTAGACTTGTAAAACGTGTGAGGGCTAACGTTGATTAAGAAAATATGCGTGTTAAACCCGTGGTGCTCGTTTAAATTTTTCACAATACAATCAGTGCAATCGTTGATATCATAATCAGTGCGCACCGTGTCAGTCTTCATATTCCATTTCCTAATGTACCCAATGCGCTGTATAAAATAAACGGCTTTGTTACTGTTTTAGGTCCATATATTAATATTTTGTTTATTATTGTAAAAAAAGCTCAAGCAATACATTTTCTTAATACTAGTGAACTTGTTATCACAATTATATTAGCTTGTTTATCATAACTAAAATTGAAAAAAATAAAAAATTTTACCCTAGTTGGCTTTTGGTAAACTTTTGATATATAGATATATTGGAAACTTACGATTGTTCAATTTATCTATATATCAGAGAGAATTTGATTCATTAGTATATTTGATCAGTAAAACACTTGTCTTTTGGTTAAGAAAAAGCTGATATATCATCCACGCTCATATCATATCCACGCTAACAAAACTTTACAAATTGTTAGATTCTGTAGAGTAGTTTCTAAATAATTTGAATAAAAGATGAAAATCATAACAAGATTTTTAAAAGAAACTTTTGAAAATTTTGTTGTAATTTTCATTCTCACAAACACACTCACAAATGGCCGACGACACGGAAAGAGTAGATTATTAATTTTGATTAATTTTAAAAGAGTAGATTATTCTATTATTGATCAATTAAAGTTGATGAAACAAGTATAAAGAAATATTTTTAAGATACAATAGTTTTGGGTGCATTTTTTTTTTCTTTTACTGATTATGATACGTTGATTGCTTGTAAATCTCGAAAAGCTTTTAATATTTTGCAGAAAATATTTTATGTTCTGAAAGATAGAAAGGGTATGGAAGTTTGCATGCTTTAGTTGTAAGTAGTATAAATAAAAATAGATGTAAGAAATAAAATCATTTGTAAAATTGAAACAAAAAGTGTTTTTAATTTTTGGCTAAATTGTGGTTAAATTTATTGGTTAAAATGTGGTTTATTATTAAAATTTAAAACTATTGCAGTAAATGGCTTAACTAGAAAAACATTCAGAGTTAAATTACTGCAATCAGTTTGACGTGATGTTCAACTAAGACCAGTTATAGACTGACAGCCAATCTGGGGATTAGTTGTACCATATTATGCGACAAAAATGTTAAACAAATGGTTGTATCCATTTAGTTCACTAAATTTTTATTTTATTCTCTAATGCTTTGTAAAGGTTACAATACTCATGTTTACATAACCGCTGAATCTACAGTACTTATGTTTACAAAGATGTTAAAAGATGATCAAAGTTGATATGGCTCACCCAAAAGATGTTTTTAACCTATTAAAAATAATATATATATATATATATATATATATATATATATATATATATATATATATATATATATATATATATATATATTATATATATATATATATATACATATATATATATATATATATATATATATATATATATATATATATATATATATATATATATATATATATATATATATATATATATATATATATATATATATATATATATATATATATATATATATATACAGTCGTTTGCAGTAAAATAGTAGTGCGTATTTTATTTTTCTATCAACACACTTTGAACATCAAAATATATTTTTCTATTGTTTGTTTTTTATTGTTATTGTTCATAAACTAAATGTTGTGATTATAATAGTATAAAAAAAAAAATAAGAAAGATAATTGCAACACTGTACGGTTTTAAATTTCAATATTATCGATTGAAGGTCATTTGTATTTTTTTTTAGACTGTGCAATAAAATAGTAGTGAAAATCATTTTTTATGAAAAGGTCAAAAAATAATTAATTTTTATTACAAAAAATATATTTTTTGAAGCTCTACATTAGTATTTTGTGGCATGACCTTTATTTGTAATAACTGCCAAGCATCTTCGTTGCATGGAATCAATAAGATTCTGACATCGTTTGACAGATATATTTTGCCATGCTGACTGTAACACGTCCCACAATTGATTAAAACTTCTTGCATTATTTTCAGAAACTGCTTGTATAACACCAGTTCACAAATTTTCAATCGGATTGAAGTCGGGGGAATGTGCTGGCCACTCCATCACATCGATTTTGTTCTCATTAAACCACGATTTGGCTAAAAGTCATTGCTCGTAACTTGCTCGTATGTTTGGGATCATTACTCTTCTCGAACAAAAATTCTAACGGTATTTTTTCTTCAGCATAAGGCAGCACAATCTCTTCAAGTATTTTTACATATACAAACCGATCCATGATACCCTCTATGCGATGTATCGGCCCAAGACCATAGTAAGAAAAACAACCCAATGTCATTATTTTTGAACTTCCATGTTTGACGGTCTTTAATGTAAATTGTGGCTTATATGCTGCACCCGTTGGTCTTCTAACATACTGTTTACGAACATAGGAACCAAAAATTTCAACTTTGCTTTCATCAGTCTACTAAACATTTCGCCATTTTTTCTTTAGGCCAAGAAGCATGCATACGTGCAAATTTTAAACGATTTTCGATATGTCTTTTACTCAAAAGTGGCCCTTTTCTAAATGTTCTTAAATTTAAATCGGCATGTGTTAATTGTCTTCGAATAGTTGAGGAATTAACATTTAATTCTAGCTTTTTTTTAATTTTTTTAGAAGTAATAAATGACGATCTAACGATACTATTCGACGATCTTCTATAGCGGTAGTTGATCTTTTATTTCCACGTTTTTCTGGTTTGGGTATCCATTTTAAAGCATTACAAATCATTGTTAATAAGCATCCAACCAGTTCTTATATTTGTTTGAAGGTTTTACCATGATTTTTAAGATTTACAATTAAATTACGAACTTCTTCAGTATAATGCTTAGAACGCCCAATGTTTCTCTAAATTTTCAAAATTTTAGTAAGTGTATAAATTTATGTAATATCAAAATTAATTACTTACTTATTGCTTATTATTAAGAACTAATAATAATTAGAATTTAATAAGTACAGCAAACATTACACAAAAATTAATTTTTCACTACTATTTTATTGCACAGTCTAAAAAAAAAATACGAATGTACTTCAATGGATAATATTGAAATTTAAAACCCTACAGTGCTGCAATTATCTTTCTTAATTTTTTTTTATACTTCTATAATCACAACATTCAGTTTATGAACAATAACGATAAAAAACAAACAATAGAAAAATATATTTTGATGTTTAAAGTTTGTTGGTAGAAAATCAAAATGCGCACTACTGTTTTACTGCACACGACTGTTTATATATTTTTTAAAGTTGATTTAGGTGCCCTAAGGAGTCCTAACGGTTTTATCACAGAGCACCGCGGAAGAGCATTTAATATGAAGTTTTTTTTTTTTTTTTTTTTTTCGTCATTTGAAACATTTTACAATGTTAACCTTACATTCAAATAAATTTATACAAATGCAAGCTGACTGGGGCTACTTGCCCCAGTCAAAAGCTGACTGGCGCAAGTAAAAGACAAAATGTCTTTTACTTGCCCCAGTCAGATTGCATTTGTATAATTTTTAATAATATTTTACAATTTCCAATAATTTATAAAAGGGTGAAATTAAAAAAGTTTAAAAAAACAAATTAAAAAGTTTTAAAAAATCAAAAAGTTTAAAAAATAATTTTTAAGTTTGACAAAACTAAAAAGTTTGAAAATAATAAAAAATAAAAAAGCTTGAAAAAATAATTTACAAATCCGTACTTATGCGTATACATATCCAATAAACTTCATTATATATATTTAAATATACAAAAGATATTTTGAATTAAAAAAGATTCAAAACATTTTATAGATTTATATTCATCTACTCATATTTTTTTTTAAAACAAAATTAAAACAGACAAACAAAAAGAAACTAGAAGAATATATATAAGAAGGATATATGTATATATATACATATACATATATACATATACATATACACATATACACATACACACATACACATGTATATATATATATATATATATATATATATATATATATATATATATATATATATATATATATATATATATATATATATATATATATATATATATATATATATATATATATATATATATATATATATATATATATATATATATATATATATATATATATATATATATATATATATATGTATATATATATATGCACATGTATAATTAAATATAAAATTGTTTAATATTTATGTTACATTATTTTTTGTTTAGGGAAAATTTACTTCGTCTTGTAATTTATTACGATGATTTATCGTATGAGTTACTTGAACAGAAACCAAACTATGACACATTGGTGTGGCTAGGTAAGTTAAATAAACTATGACACATTGGTGTGGTTAGGTAAATTTGAACTCGAAATGTTTATAAGATTTTCTAAGATCCAAAAATCTCTTGACCCGGCAACTAGATACTTTTATAAAACCAAGAACTAATTAGGTATTTAATGTTTAGTCAAAACTTCTGTTATTTTTTTTTCATTTTAGGAGATGTTGGTGGTCAGATAGGATTGTTTATAGGAGCGGGAGTGATGTCATATTTCGAATTCATTGATTGCTTAGCAATGATACTCTACACCAGATTTTTTGAAAAATTTACGACTAAATAAAACAGCATGATTTGATTGGTTATAGTCAATGATTTGAGAAAAGATTGGAGAAAAGAGTATTGACTTCATAAATTTTATAAGAAGCTATTATTATAGAATGTAGTATTTATTTTTGATAACATTTGAAATAATGAATAATATAGTTTTTTTTTTATATTGATGGTTTGAATATATGGTTAATTACTTAACGCAAGTTTTCATATATTTTGACTCGCTTGTTCTCTGTGTCAATATACACACAAATTTTCCGGTCCGCAACATATTTACTAGGGTTAGTTAGTGATTTAACATAATTAAGATTTTATTTTTATTTTCTTAATTTTAATCTACAAGGGAAAAATCTGTTAAGCTGGGAAAACAACCAATCCCTGCTATGGTAGATCCAGTATAGAGGATTACCAAACATAAATTAAAGACGTATATAATTATCGGCACATTGAGTTGATAACATTCCCAAACGAGAAACAGAAGTACCAATCATACAGTTTTTTTTGGAAGTGAGCCAAAAAATCTGACAAGGTTTTTTTGGCTCACAAGTATTAATGTTGACAATATCTGGTACATTTCTATCGAAAGTAATGATATCTGGTGGTAGCGCATTCCAATCAACTGCCACATGGTTACATAAAAAAGTTTTGCGAGCTACATATTTAATAATTCTTGGTACCCAAATGCAATGGGGAAAAACCCAAAGACCACCGGCTGGTCCAGGATGCACAAGTGCAGGAGCAGTAGATGGTGATTCGATCAATTTAACTTAGCTTATGCTGTGGTAAATCTTAAAGTATTGTATAAGATCACTTCGGCGCCTTCGATTTTCAAGTGATTGGATACCAATAGCTGAGCAGTAGGACGGGTCGAAACAATTACTTTTTTTTTTAATTTTGACAAGCAGCACTATGTGGAGTTTTTGAATTGGTATAATAAACTATATAGACTAAATTTTTTTTTTCACACACACCCCTAAGGGTTGTTTTTAGAGGTTCTAAATTTAAAACTGCAATGATTCTTGAGATGTTGTGAATTATTGCTATTATATTTGCAGAAATAAAGATGCTAAAGGTAAAGGATCAAGTTTTGCTTATAAATGTTACAGATTAGTTACCACTGAAATTGAAAATATTTGGCGTAAATTCAGTTTTCCAACAATCGAAACAGAGGAAGTATTCTCAAAATTATGTAGATTAATGGAAAAAGCATCCAATTTAAATAAAACTTCAAGACTTAGAAGAAACGCTAGTTTTTATGACAAATTGAAAGCTTTTGACAACATGTTTGATATATGTTTATGTAATTGTTATGATTGGTTCTCACAAGCAACTCTGTTAAATTTTTTCTAAAATTTATTGGATTTAGGGGGAGCACAAGACCCTTGAACACTTACCGGGTTCCTAATAATATAAAAATGTCATGTTGGGTCTCAAAAGAAGCGAAATTATATAAAAATTTTAAAAATAACAATTATTTAAAAAAAAATTATTATTTAATTTTTTTTTTTAAATAATTATCAGAAAAATACACTTTTTTTATTTTTAGGTTATAAAAAATTTTTTTGCAAAAATTTCTAAAATAATAGTTTTTTTATAAAATTTGTTAATTTTAAAATTTCTATATAATTTTGCTTCTTTTGAGACCCAACATGACATACTTTTGAAAAAAAATTTTTTTAATAATTTTAGGGACCCGGTAAGTGTTCAAGGGTCTTGTGCTCCCCCTAAATCCAATATAATTTAGAAAAAATTCAACAGAGTTGCTAGTGAGAAGCAATAAAAAGTTTTAAGAATATGAACAGATCTTTTTTAGAATATAAGGGGCGGCTGGGACACCCTAATATATATATATATATATATATATATATATATATATATATATATATATATATATATATATATATATATATATATATATATATATATATATATATATAACAAGTTTATATTAAATAATATTTACTCTTTATATTGCTTTGATTTTTCTTGAAAACGTGTATTAAAAACCTACCTCATTTCTAATTTATATCTTTGACATTAGTAGTATTCACTTTATTTGATATTAAAATGATTTATTAAAAAAATCTAATTTAGGTATTAAAATGTTCCCGAATGAGGTTTAAGGTATCCTTCCAAAATCACAGAAGCTTTTAAAAATTGCTATGCTATATCTCTTTTCATATTGTGCATCTGGAAACGTTTTATTAATTATCGAATCGCTCAAAAGTTTTAAACATGTAAATTTTTGTAAACTTCACATGATTATAATTTTCATGTACTAAAAGATTTTTAAATGAAATTTAATTTGAAGAGTTTAAGTCATTTCTCTCACGTTCGGAGCAAAATATTTTAGGGCATGTTTGTTTCTAGGTTTTGATCAGCGCAGCTTTCATATTTTGCAAAACATTTTCATTTAACCTAAGCAAAAACGTACTAAAGTTTAGAGTTTGCACAATGCCTGAAAACATTATATCTGAAACATCAAAATATCCTGCCTACGTCAATTAAGGGTACTTTGCTATTGAGAAAGCAACTTACCAACGAGAAAGAAAACTCAATAAAAAAAACAAAACCTTTCCTGTGCTGCTATCAGAAAAACACTCAATTCTGTTCAACAAAACAGGTCCCAAGAAGGGGCTAATGGGTTGTAATTTTAATTTACTTTTTTTGTAATTGTAATTAGGCTTTCTTTGATATCATATATAAATAAAAGAAAAGCATTTTATAAAATCTGGTGTTAAAAACTGTGAACGTTAAAAATAATTATAGAAACTAGAATCTTTTTTAAAATTTATAGTTTTAAAAACTTTTGTTTGTGGAACTCTTTAAAAATGAGATTTTCTGACCAAATGAATGAAAGGGTTTCTGAAAAAAAGCTGTGACCTTCCTAAACTACTAATAATAAATTTCTCCAGGAAAAAAACTTGGTTTTGGCTATGTAAGAAAAAAGTTATTAATCAATAATTTTAAGAACAATAACTAATTTAATTTAATTAAGAAACGATTAAAGACTTTAGATTAATTGATATATACAGCTGAAATTATAATAGAAACCATATGAAAAAGAATAACGAGTAAAGTGTTGAATAAAAAATAATCAATTTTAAATAACAATTAAATTAATGATTAATACTGATTTTATTGATTATTAATTTTTTTAATAATTAAAATTAAAAACTGATATATAAATTTTGGTTTAGAATTTAAGTTAATTTTGGCTGGTTTTACTTTTTGGTTTGATATTTTTTATTTTTTATCCAGTTTTTTTTTGTTTATTTAATTGCTTATTATGTTATAAGTTATTTATTTTGTATTAATAGCATTTTTAATAAGTTTTATTTAAAAATAGAGAAATAAAAATAGAGATTGCTGTTTGAAATAGTTTAAAGTGATAGTTTTTTTTTTAAACGTTAAATGGAAGTTTTCTCATATCACGTATTACTTTTTAAAATATTTAAAGATCTTCAGTTCAAGAGATCTTCAGTTCAAGAGATCTTCAGTTCAAGAGATCTTCATTTCAAGAAATCTACAGTTCAAGAGATCTTCAGTTCAAGAGATCTTCATTTCAAGAGATCTACAGTTCAAGAGATCTTCAGTTCAAGAGATCTTTAGTTCAAGAGATCTTCAGTTTAGTAAAATCTTCAGTAAAATTTAGTGAAGATTGCTTAATTAATTGTACACCGTGTTTTTAGTTCATTAATTTTAGTTTTTAGTTCACATCACTCCAACGCAATAAACAACATCAAAATACTTCATTTAAAAAATCACATATTTAATGTAAAAAATTTAATGAAAAATTTGTCAAATGTTGCTAAAAATACTGCAAACAAAAAAAGGTTGTATATAGAGTAATATAGGACACAGTTATGGTTTAAAGTACAAAAAAATACAAGTTAATATTATTAGTAATTAAACGTTTATTGTTAAACTTTTTTTTTTAATTATTTATTTTTCAGTTGGAAATAGTCATTAAATTTAAAAAACCAAATTGTTTATTTAAATTGAAATTTGCTGAAATTTGCTCGATCTTCTATCGGGATCAGTTTTTTGTGGTGCAAAACCGCTGACCATGTCCTTAAATTCTTTAAAGTAAATCTTTCTGTTTTTTTCTAATCTAAAAAAAAAAAATGAGTACTTCAAAATAAATCAGAAAAATAATTTTTTTGCTGTTATTTAATTTTGAGTTTGTTTATTTAGGTGTCTCTCCCTTGCCTAATTATAAACATCCACCTTGTCCTACAAATTACTCCCTACCTTAACCCTATATATATATATATACATATATATATATATATATATATATATATATATATATATATATATATATATATATATATATATATATATATATATATATATATATATATATATATATATATATATATATATATATATATATATATATATATATATATATATATATATATATATATATATATATATATATATATATATATATATATATATATGTATATATATATATATATATATATATATATATATATATATATATATTATATATATATATATATATATATATATATGTATATATATAGAGCAAAGTAATTCAATATTTATAATAGTTTCTTCGTTAAATTTGTTAGTTATTTTTAATTATTAGAAACATTCGCTACTTGAAATGAGCAAGGATTCCTTTTTTATCTTCTTCTGATGCTTTCTCCATCACAAACATTAATGCCTCTTTTACGTCATTAGCAGCAATATAACCAATGCCATCAAAATCAAATGCATTGTAAGCGGCTTTTGCTAAATTAAAAATTTAAAACACAACATAGTCCTGAACACACCATGAATCTGGTAAAGTTTAATTAAAGTTTGCAAAACTGTTGATTTTGACTTGAACAGAGTTAAACAACAACAGTTTAGCAACGTCTGTTTAGCATTAAATGACTTTACAAACTTAAATAAATAAATAAAATTTAATTGTGTCAACATACCATAATCTATTCTGCCACTCCTGCTACATTAAAAATATTCAAATATTTAAAAATGTATATTTTACCGTCTTTTTCATGTTTATCGTTAGATTCCAAAAGATCAATGAGTTCCATAAACTCATCGAAAACAAGTTTGCCATTTCCGTCGTCTACTGTAAGCGTTAACCTTTGAAGATAATCATCTGTCAGATTGTATCCGATTGTAAGCAGCATTTCCTTAAGATGACTGATTGGTAAATACCCTTAAATTAAATTTTTCAATTTAACTATATATATCTATATATACATATAAGACATAACTGTCCCGATATGCCCCACTCTACCCTATATATATATATATATATATATATATATATATATATATATATATATATATATATATATATATAATTAGGGTAGAGTGGGGCATATCGGGACAGTTATGTCTGAAGCCTTATATCTCAGCTAAAAAAAAAAAATTTATAATATAAAAAAAAAAAATAGTTTAAGAAAATCGAAAATGCATCGAAAGTACCGGAATGCATTAGTAAGTTTGCAACAAAAAAAAAAATTTGCGTATTTTCTTAAGCAATAAAGTTTTTTAATTTTTTTTACTTTTTTTAATTTAATTTGTAGTATAATACTATTTACAATGAGAAAAAATTGTTTACATATATAAAATGGCTGGGGCAAGAAGAAGACATATTGTCTTATTGCCGAGCCCCGTTTACATAGAAGCCGCCAGTTAAAATTACAATTTAAAAACTTAAAACATAAAAATAGGTAACATAAAAAACAAAAATATATTTCTACAAAGATATTATAAAGTTAAAATAAGATATTAAAATAGTATAATTTTACAGTCATAGCATATTTAATGGAAAATAAAATGACTTTTTCAAAAAGAAAAAAAAAAAAAAAAGGTGAAGATCTATTCAGTTTATTTAAATATTTTAAATCGAAGTTTATTCCTAATAAGAAACGTTTACATACTGTTTTGAATTATTCAACAGAGATGTTTTTAAGAATGTTATTTTTAATAATTTTTTGAAAAAATTCATTCCATAGAAATGGTCCACGATATTGTATTTGGAATGAACTGAGTTTTAAATAGAATCTTGGAACCACAAAATTATCATTTGAAATATTAGTGGGATACTTATGAGAAATTTTAGTAAAGTAAGATTGAAATATATTAGGCGACAAACCATGTTTGGATTTAAACATGAACAGCATAACTTGATATATATTAAGTTTATAAACATTGAGTGCATTGAATTCCATTAAGAGAGGTTCCATTAAAAGTGACAAAAGATTTATGTTAAACTATTGCCAATTTGCTTCATTTATAAAAAGTTTATATATTTCAGATAATATTTATTATCTTCTTTTAGAATCTTGTTTTATAAAGTTATTTAGAATCGAATTTTTTGAATAGTTTTAATTTTAGTAAAATCACTTTTGTGGGGCATCTCGGGACAACAAGTTATTTATATAATTGAATATATTTCTACCAATTCCTAATACTGTGTACAATTTGATAATTTTAATTTTAATCTAAAATATTTTTTTTTATTAAGAAAAGCAATTTTAGCAATAAATTTAAAGAAATTCTCATTTTTATAACTTAACTTTGATTATTATTAGTGTTTAATGTAAACAAAAAAAAGTAAGAAATGATATAAGAAAGAAAGAAAATTCCAAAAAGAAATGAAATGCAGTTTTAGATGTGAGTAAAAAGGAACTCAGAGCTAAAAAAGCTGGTAATACATATGGCATATTTAAGTTTACATTGGCATATTGTTATTAAGCCAGCTTAACAAAAAATGTTTCCAAATAGTTTCAGAATATTTTTTGTGTGATTTATGGGATCCATAAAATTTTTTATTTAATTTCAAATTTAGTAGTTGTCAATTGAATAATATACAGATTAGAGTAGAATAAGACTAAAAAAAAAATTATTTATAGCTGTTTTTTGTGGTGTATAAGTGTAAAGGCGTGTAGTTTCTATGGGTATGTTACTTTTTTGAGAGATTAATGTCTGAAAATATTTAGACAATAAATAGCCTTCATTTTTCATCATATTCAAGGTTTACAATTGATGAATAACTGCTTCTTTTTAACTGTCCCGTTTTTCCCCACCCATTCGCAAAATGTAAAAGTTTTCATAATTTAGAGTGTCGTGACTTAGGTTGTCGTAACTTATTTTTAGAGTTTTTTTTTTTTTTTTGAATTTTTGAATTTTTAAAAAACAGTGTTAAATAAGATTAGTTTATCCGCAACTAGCATTTGTAACGCACAACGCACACGCACACACACACACACATATATATAGTAGTAGTAGTAGTAGTAGTAGTAGTAGTAGTAGTAGTAGTAGTAGTAGTAGTAGTAGTAGTAGTAGTAGTAGTAGTAGTAGTAGTAGTAGTAGTAGTAGTAGTAGTAGTAGTAGTAGTAGTAGTAGTAGTAGTAGTAGTAGTAGTAGTAGTAGTAGTAGTAGTAGTAGTAGTAGTAGTAGTAGTAGTAGTAGTAGTAGTAGTAGTAGTAGTAGTAGTAGTAGTAGTAGTAGTAGTAGTAGTAGTAGTAGTAGTAGTAGTAGTAGTTGTAGTAGTAGTAGTAGTAGTATATTTGTTATAACAAAAGTAAAAATAATTGACAAAATAAAAATCATAGATTTTTATTTTGTCAATTATTTTTATTAAGAATTTTTACTAAGAAAAGCTGCGAGCTGTAGTAACATTAGAGCTTATCGAGGCTTGTTTAAAACTGGTGACAGTTGGAGAATTGATTATTTTATCTGGTAGCATATTCCATGCATTGACAATGCGATTGTTAAAAAGGTGGAAGCGAGCTAAATGGTTGTTGTACTTTTGACAACGAGGTCTTTCTCTGTGATTTGTTCTTGGTGGAACTGTGATGAAGTGCCAGTTGATTATGTCAATGTTATTAACAATTTTGTATTTTTGGATGATGTCACCCCGTTTGCGACGCTCAACTAGAGTAAATAGGCCAAGTTGTAAATATCTAGACTTTTAGTCTAACTTTTTCAGTTTGTCTGGTATTTTTGTGGCTCTGCGCTGTATTAGCTCAATAGTTTGTTCATCCTTCACCAAATGAGGGTTCCAAGTTGGAATTGCAAACTCAAGTAAAAGACGGACGTAGGTGGAGTAAAGTTGTTTCCATAAAGAAGTATCACGAGATTGGAAAGTGTGTTTTAGGATGCCTGCATTTTATGTGCTTTACATGAGGCAATGATAGATTGGGTTTCTACTTTAAGGTCATTGGTAGTTTGAATTCCCAAGTCACGCTCAGAGGTGGTTGCTTCCAATGTAGTTCGAGTCGTTATTGAATGAGGGCATATTTCCTCCATTGAGTACTTGAAAGGAATTATTATTTTTGGCCAAAGTGCATGACCTTGCATTTCTTTGCATTTAGCTCCATGAGCCAAGACTTAGTTCAATGAACAATTTGGTCAAAATCTGATTGAAGTTGAAATTGAGCAGCAAGTGAGTTGACAATGCTCGGAATTTTAGTGTCACCAGCGTCAATTTGCTTATTACATCTGGTAGATCTTTGATAAAAATGAAAAATAAAATTGGACCCAAGACTGATCCATGCAGAACTCAACTTGTCACAGGCAACCAATTCGAATGAGTTTTACCAAGGATGACTCGTTGAGACCTGTTAAGTAAAAAAGCTTTTATCCAATGGAAAATATCAGCTTCGACTCCGTACATTTTTAGTTTGTAAAGCATTAGTTGATGTGGTACTTTGTCAAATGCTTTGAAATTAATGACGTCAACTGGTAGTTTTCTGGCCAAATTTCCAGTTAAAAAATCCATTGTTTCAAGTAGATTTGTAAAGCATGCTTTTTTTTTCTAAAAAGCTATGTTGACTATTTGATAGAAGAGTGTTTGATTTTAGATGCTGCATGATTGCCTTTTTAACTAGTTTCTCCATTATTTTACATGGAATCGAGGTGAGAGATATTGGTCTCTCGTTTGATGGGTCAATTCAGGAGCCCTTCTTAAATAAAGATGTTACATTTGCTTTGGACCATGAGTTTGGAATTTCACCATTGTCAAATGACTTTTCAAAGATGAGAGTAAGTGGAGTAGACATTGAGGTAGAACAAAAGCGTAAAACGCGAGGACTGACATTGTCTACACCAAGTGATTTAGATATATCTAGTGATGAGAGTTCCATTAGAGTGGCTTGAGTGCCAAAAGTTATGTTGTTGAGGATTGTGTTAGTTCTACAATCAAAATGTGGAAGATTGCCATTGCATGGTTCTTTGCTAAAAACTGCTTGAAACTGATTGTTAAGCGAGTTAGCTATTTTAATTTTGTCAGAGTTAATTATTTCACTGGTGATTCGCATAGATGAGATCTGATTTATTAAAGTGCGTTTACTATTTATGTATAAAAATAGTCTTTTAGGGTTGAGCTTATCATTTGCAAGAGCAAATTTGAAAGATTTCAGAGAAAAACAACTTAATTTTATAACAAACATTCTAGTTTCTTTGTATTCCTTAACCAGGGATGCGATTTTTTATTTTGAACTGACGTTACAAGCTTACAGCAATTTTTTAAGACGAATCAGGGATAATTATTCTTTTGTCATCCAAGGTTGTCTATTTGGGGATGGTATGTTCGGCATACGAAGGATGAATTGAAGACAACATTCATTGTATTTGTTTAGCCAAATTTGGTAACATTGTTCTACGTTTAATTTATTAAAAATAGATGACCAACCTTATTGAATTCTTTGTTGATTTTTTTGTAGCTACCGAGGTTGTAAATAAATTTAGAGCTGTTGAAATGCGATAATTTTCCAGTGGAAGCCAGTTTGTATTGCCAGGTGATAGAGCAATGATATTGATCAGACAAACCGAGTGGAGGACCAATGTTGACTTCGTTAGCACAATATGGAGAGTCTCATATTATAAGATCAAGAGTGTTTATCATAGGGAGAATAGCAGGTTTGAAAGTAGGACAGTGACGATTTGGTAAAGATGACAATCTTGAAGAATAGAGACAAATGAAGAACTGAGACCGATTTTACTAGAGGAGAAGACTGAATTGGAAGTTCAAGTAATCTCTGGTCTGAACAATAGAGGTTGTAGTTTGGAAAAAAGGAAGTTGATTGGTTGTTGAACCATGTCTCAGTTATAAAAATAATGTCGAAGGAGTTGTTTTCAGCAAGTAAGGATAGTTCGATGAGTTTTATTGGATTCAGGGAGGTTGCATTCGTGTAGAAGCACGAA